ACTTGCCTTAGGTGATCCACATGATCACTTAGACATTTGCTATAGATTAAGATATCATCGAAATAAAAAACTACAAACCTACCAATGCAATCCCTAAGGGCATGATTCATCAACCTCATGAATGTGCTAGGTGCATTAGTAAGCCCAAAAGGCATTACTAACCATTCATATAATCCAAACTTAGTCTTAAAAGCGGTTTTCCACTCATCACCTTCCTTGATTCGAATTTGGTGATATCCACTTTTAAGATCTACCTTGATCACGAAATGGATGACCCATGCAATTCATCAAACATGTCATCAAGCCTAGGAATTGGGTGCCTATATTTTATGGTGATGTTGTTGATGGCTCTACAGTCACAACACATCCTCCATTTTCCATCTTTTTTTGGCACCAAAATGACTAGTATAGCACAAGGGCTTAGACTCTTTTGAATCCAACCCTTCTCTAACAACTCTTGTACTTGCTTCTCTATCTCTTTGGTCTCTTGTGGGTTGGTCCTATAGGCTGGTCTATTTGGAAGACTAGCCCCAGGCACAAGATCGATTTGATTCTCTATTCCCCTAAAAGGTGGAAGTCCCATTGGGCCTTCACTAGGAAATATATCATCAAACTCTTTTAAAAGGTTTTTGACCTCAAAAGGTAGAGAAGTTTCCAAAGAAGATGTGGCAGTGCATGTAAGTGTTCCTCTACACATGAGGATATGAGATGATGGTTCAAGAAAGAGAGAGATTTTGTGCAAAGGTTTTGAAAAGGCCTCTTCTTGAACTATCTCTAGAGAGGGAACACTAGTCTCTCTAGAATCCTCTTTTTTCCTAATTTTTAGAATGTTTTTTTTTTCATTTTTTTTTGTTTGTCTTTTTCTTGCTCACGTTTGGTCTTCATTTGTACTTGATCTTCCATCACTTGTGAAGGTGATAGAGGATGAAGCACAAATTTCTTACCCTTGTGAGTGAAAGTTATTTTATTAGTTAGGCCATCATGATGAGTTTGTTTATCAAATTGCCATGGCCTACCTAATAAAATATGACAAGCTTCCATGGGAACTACATCACATTTAACTTTATCTACATAGTTCCCAATAGAAAACTCTACTTCCACTTGTTGGTTGACCACCATATCCCCATCATCATTAAGCCAATGAAGTTGATAAGGTTTTGGGTGGGGTGTGGTAGTCAAGCCCAACTTTTCAACCATCCTAGTGCTACAACAATTGCACCAAGATCCACTATCCACTATGAGAGAACAAGCTTTGTTTGAAATGTTACATCTTGTATGAAAGATGTTCTCTCTTTGGGATTGTGTATCACTAGGTTGGTTGTTGAGGACCCTTCTCATCATAAGAAGTTCCCCATTGTAAGGGTAAGTGACCTCACATGACTCTCCCTCACTTGCTTCTTCTTCATCCTCACTTGAAGATGGAGAAGTAGTAGCTTCATCATGGCTACTATAAATGTCTTGGCCCCTTAAAATCATCACTTTCTTGTTAGGGCATTGAGAAGCAATGTGGCCTTTCCCAAGACACTTAAAGCACTTTATGTCACTAGACTTGGTGCTAGTGTGTGAGGTGTTTTCTTTTTTATCTTTTTCATTACCCTTGTCTAGATTTTTGGAGGGAAAATTATTTTTCTTTTCAAAATCATTTTTCTTGCCCTCCCTCTTGTAGTCATCCTTAGAGAAAGAAGATGAGTATGAGCTTGTTTTAAAACTTTTTCTCAAATTTTGTTGTTCAACCTTAATGCAAAGTTGAACCAAATCATCCAAATCCCTATCAGGGAGAAGCTCAACCTTATCTCTTATCTCAAAAGATAAACCACTCAAAAACCTAGCAATGGTAATATTTTCCTCCTTCCTAATGCCAACCCTCATTATGTATAACTCCATCGTTTGTCTATATTCTTCCACAGTCATAGCTTTTTGATGGAGTCTTTGGAGCTTGTTGATAAGCTCCCTAGTGTAGTAAGAGGGAGTATGCCTCCTCCTCAAGGCACTCCTTTATTCATTCCAATATTGAATTGGAGGTTCATTATGGAGACGCCTATCTCTCACAAGTGAAGTCCACCAATACATGGCATGAGCTTGGAAACTTAGGGTGGCTAAGGAGACTTTTCTTTCTTCACTCACTTGGTGGCAAGTGAAGATTTGTTCCACCTTTATCTCCCAATCTAGGTACCCCTCCACATCATCTTTTCCATGAAAATAAGGGAGATCTACCCTAGATTCCCTTGTCTTGGGGGTCCTATGGACTATTCTAGGAGGTTGTTGATAATGATCTCCTAAAGCTAGGTTATCATGCATTGACTCTCCTAGGGTGGAACTATTGGCGTATGAGCTTTGTTTACCATGATGTTTCTTTTTGTCTTTTTCCTTTAATAGACGAAATTCCTCATCCATAAGAGCAATTTGAGCTTCTCTTTCAAATTTTTCTAAGTCTTTGTTGTGATTCTTGCTCTTTCCATAGCTTTAGTGATCTTAATTCACGTGACAACTTAGCAAAATCTTTGTTATCACTTGAATTAGTATCACTATGAGGAGTAGAAAATTCTTCCATTATAGGTGAAAGATTCTTTTTGAAGAAAGAAGTTTGAAAAGCAATTTTTTTGTGCAAGGTTAAGACTAAGTACTTAGAGGATTATGTATACAAATTGAACTTTGGAGGGAGGTGAGCTACTAAGAGCCACTTAAAAACCAAGCCTCTTCAAATAAAAATTACTAATCCCCTTTGTTGTTAATCTCTACCAAATTCTTTTCAATGAAAAAAAAAATTATTTTTGATGTTTTATGAACTATGATATACTAGTCGTAGGAAAGCAATTTAACACAAGAATTAAACAAGAAAATAAACTACCTAAACGTGTCCTAGGGTGAGAGCTTGAGAGATACCAAAGATCAATCAAGGACCACTCCCACCAAGTGCTAACGAAAATTCTAAACCTAAGGAGAGATGGTTGTGTACCAAAGACACTCCGAAGACACTCCTTTAAATGGCCAAATACAAGGTATAAACAAGGCTAAACAGCAAAGAACAAGTGGCTTAAAAGAATTTTACAAAAACAGCCACCAAAAATTAGTGAAGAATTAGAGACCAATTTTGTAATGAAAAATTCAAATTAGTAAGGAAAAATTTAGTCTCTAAATTCGTCACTAATGCTCCTCTTTTTTTTTTTTTTAAATTCAATTACAAAGCAAATGAAACTCCAATGTGTCTCCTCGGATGTGTATAAGTCCAGCAGCCACCGAATTCTAGCCAGAAAAATGTTTAGTGTTTGAGTGTTTGGTAGCCAATCTGAAAGCTCTCTTGTTTCCCTTCCTCCTTCTTTCCTTAGTCCTCTTTTGATGACCCTTGTAGAACTAGCTTCTATGGAGATAGACTAGATCAAAACTTAGGTCACACTTGAGTACAAAAATAAGCACAAACAGCCAAGAGAATTGAGATTTAAGGAAGACAAGAATAGAGTTTAGGAGAAGACAATATAGATGAACAATGAACAAAGAAGTAGCTAGAACAAGAATGAAGAGACCTGGATAGGTTCTAGAATGGATGAACAAAACCAAAACACTCAAAGATTTAATAGCTGAAAATTTTATGATGCAAACACAAATTCAAACCGAGAAGAAAACAAATGGAATTTCAAACTCCTTGATTGGCTTTTGCTTTTCAATTTAGGTTTAGCATTTTTTTTTAACCAATTTTTTTTTTGAATCTCTTTTGATCTTTCTTCTAATTTTTTTTTAATCAATTAGGAGTTGCCTTTTGCTGTCCAAAATATATGTATCATGTAATTCTCGGTCACCTTAGGAACACAAAAACCGTAACCAAAGAGAAATGCCAAATGACTAGCAACTCAAGTTCAAATTTAAAGCAAATGTGACATGCTTTCTGTACTATCCGTACTTCGAATCCGGGCTCCGAGCTCGGATTAGCAATGCGAGACGACCTCGGATTTAAGTAAACCACAACTGAAACCCTAGGATCCCGCCCTAGACGGGCTCCCTCATTTAATTATATTATATCATAACATATCTTATCTCAGGCCCAAAGCCCAAGGCAAACCTAAACCACTCCAAGGTACGTGCATTATATATACGAGACTATTATTCATACAAACCCTAACTTTGGCATCGGAGTCTCTTTTGCAGGTACCACCCCCATCTTGGAGCATCTACGTACCAGCGAAGGAGGCTCACCGATCTTACTGGACGGATCACCTCTACGACCAAATTCCGGTAAGAACATTTGGCGCCCACCGTGGGGCCGATCAAGATAGCTCTTATCGGCCACCTGTATGGTTTCTACTAGAAGCCATACCAGACGAGCAATAGACAACGCGAGCCACTCAACTACCATGGACAGCGACGCTGCAACCCTGAGGCGGCTAATCGACCAAGTCGAGCAGATGTGACAACAGCACGACGCCGACCTTCGAAATATGCGTGCCCAACACGAAAATGACCTTGCAACGATGCGGACCGCCAATGAGGCAGACCTCGCGGCATTACGTGCCGAGAATGAGCGCATTCGCGCCCAGCTCCCTCGACACCACTCCAATCAACCTCTACACGAGAGCGACACTCATGAGGAAGAGGCACATTCAGCCTCCCAATCCCAAGCGACGACCAAGGCACCAACTTCACGGCCTACCACGCACTGATCTCACGCATCGACATACATATCAGGGCAGGGTACCAGCAGAGCCCCCACTCATGTTTCTAAGGGCCAACAACCATTCCGCCGCCATCCTTTTGTGGACGGCATCATGGAGACCCCACTGCCCCGCGGGTGGAAACCCCTCCACCTCGACCGCTACGATGGCACAACAGACCCCGACGAACACATCGACTCGTATACAACCCAGGTAAACCTCTACACTAACAGTGACGCTATATTGTGTAGGGTTTTTCCGACCTCACTCAAGGGACCCGCACTTCATTGGTACACCCAACTACCGGCCAAATCCATCGACAGCTTTAGTACCTTGATACAGTGATTCATGGCACAGTACGCCACCAGCCGACCTCACCATACAACCTCGGCCGCCTTGGCCAACTTAAGGCAGAATGACGACGAACCTCTGCGAGCTTTCATGGAACGCTTCTCCAGCATCTTGGTGAGAATCCGGAACTTGAACCCCGAGGTCGCCCTGCACGCCATGCTCATGGGACTCAAACCCGGGTCATTCGTTGACAACCTATGTCGCGATGCCCCCCGCGACATGGACGAACTGCGCGCCCGCGCCGCCGGCTATATTCAGATGGAAGAGCACTCGGCCTTCCGTGACCAGGTTCGCGGAAAAGGCCCCATGAAACCGGAACAGGGCCACAAAGATAAAATAAAAGTCAATAATGACAACCAATTCAAGAAGCCGGCCAGAGCAAACAGAGGCGGGAGGTACGACTTCTACACTCCCCCGAACGCCCCAAGAGTCCACATCCTGGAGAAAGCCAGCAACAGCAACCTACTAGCCCTTCCGCCGCCCGGCCACACTCCCAACAGCACCGACAAGTCCAAGCACTGTCGGTACCACAGGAACCATGGCCACACCACAAAGGAGTGTCGCACGCTCCGGGATCGTATCGAAGAACTCATGCAGGCAGGCCACCTCGGCCAGTACGTCCAACGACAGCAAAGTCACCGAGGTGGCTATGGCGGCTGGGGACGAGGGAGAGGTCGCGGGTCAGGAGCTCGCACAGACCTACCCACAGGGTCCCAGCAACATGCTAGCGGCGTAGTATACGCCGAAATAAGTCAGGAGACAGAATCAGCTCCCTTGCAGGGAGTAATCAACACAATAGCAGGCGGCTTTGCTGGAGGAGGCGCCAGCAGCTCGGCCCGAAAAAGACACCTGCGAAGTATCAAATGTGCCCACTCTACCGTTTCAGTCTCACATCAGAGCTCGCCGCCGATATCTTTTTCTGACGAGGACTACGCAAGCGTTAGCCCTAACCAAGATGATCCTATGGTCATCGTGGTGGAAGTCGCCAACTGGGAGGTTCAAAAGACACTCATCGACCAAGGAAGTTCGGCCGACGTCTTGTACTGGCCAACGTTCCTCAGGCTAGACGTCCCCCATTCTCTCATCCAACCGCACACAAAGCCCCTAGTCGGCTTCGTAGGCGAGCGGGTTCACACCCGCGGGTACGTAGACCTACTGACAACCTTCAGAGTACCCCCAGATGCAAGGAGAATCATGGTTCGATACCTCCTCGTGGAGGCCAACACCTCTTACAACATCATCATCGGGAGGCCGACCCTGAATCATCTCGGTGCGGTGGTATCCACTTCGCACCTCACCATGAAGTTCCCAGGGAATGACGGTAAGATCATCTCCGTCAAAGCAAACCAGAAGACAACTCGGCAATGCTACACCGAAAGTCTGAGGATCTCCTCGTTCGGCAAGGAAAGCAAGGGGAGTCCCCCCACCGTAACCCACTAGATCTCGTTCTCCTTTAATGTACGAATAAAGTTGTGCACTCTTTTCCCGCCTCAATCCCCGACTGAGAGGGTTTTTAACGAGGCACATAAAAACAATCAATAAAATTATTCGTTTTCCTCAATCCATTTTCTTACCTATTACTTTTGTAAAAATCGAAATTGAACTAGCCTCTTTCACGTAAACCCGAGGTCGAGTACGAACCCCGGTACTATCGTTAAAGGTCGAATACGAACCTTAGTCAAATCCTTCACGTAAACACGAGGTCGAGTACGAACCCCGGTACTATCGCTAAAGGTCAAAAACGAACCTTAGTCAAATCCTTCACGTAAACCCGAGGTCGAGTACGAACCCCGGTACTATCGGTAAAGGTCGAATACGAACCTTAGTCAAATCCTTCACGTAAACCCGAGGTCGAGTACGAACCCCGGTACTATCGGTAAAGGTCGAATACGAACCTTAGTCAAATCCTTCACGTAAGCTCGAGGTTGAGTACGAACCCCGGTGCTCTCGTTAAAGGTCGAATACGAACCTTAGTCAAATCCTTCACGTAAACCCGAGGTCGAGTACGAACCCCGGTACTCTCGTTAAAGGTCGAATACGAACCTTAATCAAATCCTTCACTTAAACCCGAGGTCGAGTACGAACCGCGGTACTCTCGTTAAAGGTCGAATATGAACCTTAATCAAATCCTTCTCGTAAACCCGAGGTCGAGTACGAACCCGGTACTCTCGTTAAAGGTCAAATACGAACCTTAATCAAATCCTCCACGTAAACCCGAGGTCGAGTACGAACCCGGTACTCTCGTTAAAGGTCAAATACGAACCTTAATCAAATCCTCCACGTAAACCCGAGGTCGAGTACGAACCCGGTACTCTCGTTAAAGGTCGAATACGAACCTTAGTCAAATCCTTCACGTAAGCCTGAGGTCGAGTACGAACCTCGGTGCTCTCGTTAAAGGTCGAATACGAACCTTAGTCAAATCCTCCACGTAAACCCGAGGTCGAGTACGAACCCGGTACTCTCGTTAAAGGTCGAATACAAACCTTAATGAAATCCTTCACGTAAATCCGAGGTCGAGGACGAACCTCGACACTCCCGCAAAAAGGTCGAATACGAACCTTCAACTTGAGGGAGAATACGAACCTGGAACACATTTATCCGAGGACGAGTACGAACCTCAATATTCTCACTTAAAGGTCGAATTCGAACCTTCATTAGCCAGTCTATCACAAAATGAGGTCGAGTACGAACCTCGAACACGCAAATTCGAAGCCGAATGTGAACTGCGATATCCCCACAAGGTCGAGTTCGAACCTTAATCAAACCCCTTCGCTTATCACTCCGCCAAATCGTTTAACCCATAACCCGAGGTCGAGTACGAACCCCAAACATTGAAATCCGAAGTCGGGTACGGACCTCGATGCCCTCGCCCCAGGTCGAGTTCGACCCTAATCAAATCATTTCACTCAAAATCGAGGCCAGAAGTGGACCTTAAACGAACCAAAACTGAGGTGGGGTACGGACCTCAGCATCCCCGCCTAGGGACGGTTTCAGACACTACACGCGCTTACTCGAGGTTCAAATACGAGTCCTAAAAATTCTCGTCTGCAGTCGAGAACGAACCTGATAAAGATTTACCCAACCTCATTCTAAGGTCAAAAATAGACCTCAACACACCCTCACTTACGGCCGGGTCCGAGCCTTGATAAAGCCGTTTTCATCTAAATCTGATCATCCAACCTCGACGCCTTCGTTACAGGACGAGTCTGAACCTCAACTAAATCACTTTACTCAAAGCTGAGGACGACTTCCAACCTTAGCTCAATCATTTCACTCAAATTGGAGGTCGAGTACGAACCCCAGGCGTGCAAGTTAAAGCCAAGTACGAGCCCTAGCTAAATCATTCCATCCGCGTCGAGATCAAATTCGAACCTCAGTTCAATTGCTTCACCCAAATTGGAGATCAAACTCGAGCCTCCACGAAAACCTAAGGTCGAGTCCGAACCTCGTGTCATTAAGGTCAAACCTGAACCCTCATGAAAATTTCAGAGAACGCATACAACAGACATCAAAATACGTGCGCAAGGGAAATCAAGCACAAGCGCAGTTCAATCGCTTCCCTCAAAGTTGAGGTCGGATTCGAACTCCGACAGCCTCACCTAAGATCGGATGCAAAACCTTACATATCAACCTAACAACGAGTCCGAACTCTCACCACGAATCACTCAACAAAAAACATAGGCCAAGTCCAAAGCACACCAGAGGCATTAGACAAATGCCTTGGAACACGCAAGTGTCGAAAAATCAGACGCAGTCACAGACGAAGAAAAAACACATATACATATACATTCAAGACAAGTTCACTACTAGAAAAATTAAAATTAGGGAGGGAACAAATCCGTCACTAAATTTTATAAAATTCGTCACAAAATGAATTAGTGACGAAATTTGTGACGGAACTGATTCTGTCACAAAAATTGGCGTCACAAAATCATTAGTGACGGAATGAAGGCGTCACAAAAAATATGTTTTCCGTCACTAATTACTAACAATAATTGTTTATAAATTAATAGAAATCCGTCACAATTTGTGACGATCTATAATCCGTCGCAATTTGTGAGGGATAAATCTATCGCAATTTGTGAGGGGCTATCTCCGTCACAAATTGTGATGAATAGAATCCCTCACAAATTGTGATGAACAAAATCCGTCACAAACGGTGATGACTTGAATCCCTCACAAATTGTGATGAACAGAATCCCTCACAAACTGTGATGACTAGAATCCCTCACAAACTGTAATGACTAGAATCCGTCACAAACTGTGATGACAAGAATCCGTCACAAACTGTGATGGATCTATTAGAAGAACAAAATCCGTCACAAATCCCTCACAAACTGCGAAATCTGTTATACACTAGTATAATAAATGAAATCTGTCAGTTATATTTTTTAATTATGAATATAATAAATAATTTATTAATTAATAAAAAAAGTTGAATTTATTGACTATTTGTTTGAAAAATTAACAAAATAAATAATTAAGAAAATTTTCTCAATTCTATAAAAACATGTAACTAAACACGAATATAAGAAAGTCAAACATACCATATATACAAATAACATCAAATATAACAGTTTATGACTGTAGCTGATCCCTAATGTATGATAAGTACTATAGTAAAACTTAAACATAACAAATTATAACATAATAGTAAAAGATAATGCATCCCTAAACATCTATATCATGATCATCATCTAACTCATTATCATCAGATTGTACAATGTCAGCATCACGTGTAGGAGGAGGTTGGGGAGGACGAGAAGATTGAGAAAACATCTCCATAAATTGCTTCAGTTGCTCACGAACCAACCAAGACTCTTCCTGTGAAGCACGAATCAAATCTGCATGGCTTTGCATTAAAAGATTAAAATTAATTGACAACATATAAAAGTTATGCTTCAAAAAAAGATATTATAAATAGGTAAAAATATATTATATATAAAATTTTCATAAACATAGACATTAAAATTTTCAAACATTTATCAAATCAAAATTAGAGCAACTGACCAACACAATAAACAAAATTAAAAAAATTAAAAACTCATGCACTAACAAGTAACAACATAGCAACCCACCATCCAATCTAACCAACAAGCATTAGACAAAATA